TATAATGCTATGGCCCACTTAACAGACTACAGGATAGTGTAAACGTAACTTTTTTATGCACCAGGGAAGCAAAAAGTTCGTATGACTCGCTTTATTGCGATATCTGCTTCATGACGGTGCTCTGGGACTGAACCATAAGATCCCCAAGGTCTGCCTGTACGAAGAAAATATATTAAAATGTCAACCATGGTCATCTCTCAGTTATCGGATTACGGGTCATTTGTTTCATGCTACACCCTTTGCTATATAACTTCTGGAAAAAAATTGGAAAATGTTTAAATGAAGATTTTTGACAAAGAAAAGAAATATCTCCACCTGGAAGAACTGGAGCTGCTTCTCGAGGCTCCAGAAGAATGGGTGTTTCAGCACGTGCTTCGCAGACGGGCGCTTCTGAGGATCCTTCGCGATCATCTTCTCTATCAGTTCCCGGGCGATGACGTCTTCTACGGAGAAGGAAACACACGTGCAACTGTTACTTCCTCCCAACGGCCGCCAGCAAATCACTAAACCTCAACAACGTCTCCAAGTCCTCCGACTCCAGGCTCCTGAAAGGAACTCATTCCAATAGCGGAAGTGAGACCTTGTGCCAAACTTCAGCTGACGGAGAGGACTGGCGGTGCGGTTCGGGGAGAGGAGTGACTGGAGACCCCGATGTCCGAGGCCGGGGCGGCACCACTGTGCCTCCACTCACTGGACTGTGAGTGACCAAATCAACACTCTGGCTGAATATGGATCAACATGCAGAGATATTCAAGATGAAGTTTAAAAATGCATGTGCTGCAAGACAGCGTGTACTTTTAACCCATTTTTTACAAAAATATGCACACATGTCTAGATAGCCAATATCTAGAAATAATTTATATAGAAAGGTATTAACAGCAGTCGTTCATCACTGTATAAAGGGATTATCGGCCTTTCTGCTAAGCTGTTTTGTCTCCAAGGATAAAGGGAAAGTAATCCATGAACAAAACAATAAATTAGTTGTACTTTTTTAAAAAAGGCAGCAGTGAGGTGCCTGTGTGAAGAAAATATATTACAATGCCAACCGTGATTACCAGGCCCAACAATAATGCAAGAAACCCTGAAGTCAGGAAGACCTGTTGGCCCATGTGCCTGGAGAGCAACGACCCAGCTTGT